CAGGCACCTCTAATCTCCACACTCCTCCCACCAAGGAAGACCATGCTTAGTGAATGACTGATAAAAGGTGTAAGAAACTGGCCTCCTTGCTTCAAGATGGGAATAACTCTGCCAGTACATTTGATGCTTTTTCATAGGTTTAAACTGAGGTGATTGCCGGCTGAAATCACATCGTTGCTTGGGTTTTTTCTTCTGCCCTTTTTTGCTTATTTCCTGAGCATTTTCCACCAACAAATCAATTAAACAAGAATCCTTGTCTCAGGCTCAGTTTAGAATCCGACCAAAGACATATCCCAAAATTTATTTTATCCACTTCTTCTTAAATCTGGTTTGTTTCTGTACTTCTGGTCTTTAATAAATGGTATCATCCATCTTTTGATCTTCAAGCTTGAAATCCAGAAGTCCTCTTTGACTTCTGCTTGTCTTGTTTCTGCATATCAGTGGTTCTTAAACTTTTCGCCTCTAGATGTCTTTATATTTGTAAAAATCATTAAGGGTTTTAAAGAACTTTTGTTTATGTGGGCTCTATCTTTCACTATTGATCATATTAGAAATCAAAACTGGAAATATTTTAAATACTTATTATTTAAAATTAATATAAAATGACTACAGATGAACATGAAACATTTTTTGAGAAATAACTATTTCTAAACAAAAAATAATAGAAGAATGGATTTGTTTTATATTTTTTCAAAAGTATGTAGCTTAAAAGAAGAGGGCTGCGTTCTCATATTTGATTCTGCTTTCTGTCTGTGGCAATATCGCCAGTCGTGTAGGTTCCATTGGATCTCATGAGAAAATAAAAGTGAAAAGGGCAAATAATGTTTTAGCACTGTTATAAAAATAGTTTGGATGTTGCAGACCCTGTGAAAAGGTCTCAGTCCCTGGACCATCCTTTGAGCACCACTGCTGTACATCAGTTGATAAACCTATTGATTTTGCAGTAAAATTGTACTTTACACATTACATGATATGGAATAAATAAACATTTCATGTAGTACTGAATACTCAGAAATGGGATAATTTGAGAGCTAGACTGAGTCTAAATCAGGCTTCTACAACTTACATGCTCTGTAATCTCGAGCAAGTTACTTAATCCTTTCTCATATTTTAGTTTATTCATGTATAAAGTAAGACAACAAAGTTTGAGGTTTATGTGAATTAATACATATAAGTTGCTTAGAACAGTACCTGGCCCATAGTAAGCATTATGTAGATATTAGCTATTATTATTATTAGTGATAGTAATAAGTACTCTATCAGTGTTGACTAATGGTAGTCATCACTTTCTCTTTCTACCTCCTGGTTCATCTTTTCTTGCCAGATTTGTATTTCACTATTACTTGGTCTGCCTATTGCCAGTATTTCCTCTTGCCTGTTAACTTTCCTTTTAAAGATTTTATTTATTTGAGAGAGAGAGAGAGAAAACACGAATGGGGGAGGGCAGAGGGTGAGGGAACAGGGAGCCTCACACAGGGTGGGATTCCCAGGACCCATGAGATCATAACCTGAACCAAAGGCAGACACTTAATGGACTGAGCCACCCAGGTGCCACTTAACTTTCCTTTTAAGACATACAATCTTGTCACTTCATTGCGTAGATATTCTGTGAGCTTCTTGATGTCTTTAAGAAATAACTTTAGGGCACCTGGGCAGCTCAGCTGGTTAAGCGTCGGCCTCAGGGTCAGCTCATGATCCCAGGGTCCTGGGACTCAGTCGCATGTTGGGCTCGCTGTTCTGCAGGGAGTCTGCTTCTCCACCTGCCCCTCCCCACACTCGTTCTCTCAATTTCTCTCTTGCTTGATCGCTCTCTCAAATAAATAAATAAAAACTAATACCTCCCATAGGTTTAAAAAAAAAAAAAAAAAGAAAAGAACTTTAGAATATAACTTAGGCCTTTTCCAGTATGCTTGACCTACGTTTTACTTCTCTCTGGTACTTTCTGTAATTCATAACCATTATCCACTAGGCCTTAACCAGTCTTTTATTATCTTTGGCGCTTTCTCTAGTGCATACCCATCCCAAACGCACTACCCACTTTCTGTCTGTACCTGCCTCTCTCAAGACTGTGTTTTCCATCTTCGTTTCAGAAGGCTTCCATTAGTTTTCAAAACCAGCTCAGGTTTCGTTTCCTCTGTGAAGCCACAGAGGCTTCATGAAATCTTTCATACTTAAGTCAGCTGGGAATTAACTGGGCAACACTGGACATACAGTCACTCTACTTGGAGCAAGAAAAGTTTTTGAAAATCACTCCATCCTAAGCTTGATTTTTAACCAGATCATAAGTAAATCAGAAGATCCTAAGCAGAGTTTCTTATCGTGCCTTTCAACTTAACTCAGATTTAAAAGAACTTACACTGGGAAGTCATTTATAATTTGTTTGATATCATACACACCCCAGCATGACAATGACTGAGTCTCCTGTGTATTCAAACAAAAATTTAGAGCGTTGTTAATCAGGACTTATTTTTCTTTCCCCTGAGAGAAAATTCCAATATGTGTCAGGTTTGTCTTTTTTGTTATTACCAGAGACTCTAAGTAAACAGGCTGTGTTAGTCATTTGAGGGTTAAGTTCAAAGCTTTTACTATGATTGGTGTTATCAAAACTGGATGGACAGCATATCTGAACTTTCTCTTTACTATTTCTTGAAAGATTGAAAGCATTTACTAGAAGGTTAATGAGGACAGAGTTCGGCCAGCTATAAGTCACATTGGCTAAAAATAAAAACTGAGTTAGCCCAGCTCTTAAGAAGACATAGGTAGATTTTCCTCTCATCCTTTTCCCTCACCTGGAGATTCTTCATCCCCTTGTCTTCCACACCTTCCAGTCAAAAGAAATGCTTGATCGTAACATAGAAAGTATTAAGTATTCCACTATTAATGATAACTTTTGGAAAAATCATAGATGCTAATAAAATACAACTCACATGTTAGAGAAAAATGTGTCTAATAAAAACTGAAATTATCAATTGTACTGATCACTGTGTAATAATTGTGGCATAGTTAGAACTGCCATTGAAAACAATGATTGTATTTATCTTTAAAATTTGTATTTACTTTTGGAAAAGACAATAAGTGGTATGGAGCAAATCTTAGCTCACTTGCTACTTTGTTTATTGACTTATGAAACATTTTTGGGCTCCCAGTGTAACTAGATATGTTGCTAATACTTGGGATGCAAAAACAGTAGACCTTTCTCTTAAATAGGATTGCCTGTTTGTTGTAGCTGCCCCCCAACATAGAGTCTAAGTTGTAAATTCTATAATAGTGGCAAATATGGTGATTTTTGATTATACAAAATATATTTATGTAAATGAGTTTAATTTTTAAAATATATAATTTAAAATCATCTTATGGCAGTTAAGAATGGCAGTAATCAGTATCAAAATAATGCAGTTTTATTATGAAGTCTTGGCTGGTGGCTGATATGGTTGTCTTCTCTAATAATTTGAATCTTATTTTCTTCTGTAGCAGTGCTGTTCAAGAACACTTTTTGTGATAAATGAAATGTTCTGTATTTGTGATATCTAATAGTAGCCATGGACCACTTGTGGCAATTGAACATTTCCGATGTGGCTAGTGCATTGAGGAACTGAAATTTTAGTTTTATTTAAATTCTTAATATTTATTAATAAAATAAAATAAAATATTTAATTAATATTTATTAATATATTATTTGCTTCAGGGGTACAGTTCTGTGAATCATCGGTCTTACACAATTCACAGCACTCACCGTAGCACATACCCTCCTCAGTGCCCATAACCCAGCTACCCTATCCCTCCCTTCCCACCCCTCAGCAACCCTCAGTTTGTTTCCTAGGATTAAGTCTCTTATGATTTGTCTCCCTCCCTGGTCCCATCTTGTTTCATCTTAATAAATTTAAATTTAAATTGCTGCATGTGACTAAAGCTACCGTTTTGAACAGTGCAGACTCATAGTATCATTAGCTGCCATCAGCAGTGGTGACAGGTGAATTGCTGTTAAATTGTTAGTCTCATTTCATTCATGCGGGAGCCAATTTTCAGAATTTTATTTACAGATACCTGTAATCAAAGCATTGAGTTGTGCTTAAAATTAAATTATAATTAATGTTTTTTCAAAGTTCTCTTAGAAGATGAGGTTTTTTCCTTGTTACTGCCAACATAGAGATGGCTACAGGATTCGTTATCATCAGTGAGTCATTGTCACTTATCTCAGTTGCATTTGAATCATATTATCTCACATTCACTTGGATCACTTATCTTCACAAGTATTGAATGGGCAAGAGGACCATTCAGGCTACTGAGGGAAGTAGCAGGTGGTAGAGATCAGCAAGTGAGGGACAATTTTCTGACATCCTGTATGGGAATAAATGGAATGAGTGGAATATGTGTTCAGAATTTAAGTTTTTGATAGTTTGGTGGAGGAGCAAGCTAATGGAGCATAAGCTACCAGAAGACACTTGCAAAGTTATGGTTACTTTAAAAATAGGATAAATTAAAGCAGATACAAAGTGGGACTTAATCTAGAAAGTAGCCAATCAGAATTGTATGCGAAGTGATGAAGAGAATGTTATTGTAAGAACTTTTAATTAATTTAAAAAGAAATTAATGATCATATATATAAATGGCAAAAAACATGCAGCAATTTTTATAGCAAGAATGTTTTCTAATTAGGATAAAACTACAGTTGTTGACTTTTTTCAGCTATGTATACTCTTTTTAATGCTCCTAATTCAATCTAGTAATATTAAACCTTTGTTTTTAGGAGATTCATTCTTGCTTTGAGGAAGTGATTAGGAAGCTCTAGTAGAAGCTTGTCAGTAGAGGAATATTTTTCTCCAATGCTGAAATCCAGTTATTATGTCTAAGAGTCTGTTTGACTCCCTTTAGACTTCCAGCACCTTGAAGCTGATTCTGTGACTTACACTCCCCTGCGACCCTCCATGTGCCCTTTTTGAGAGACTGTTTCTCTCTGACTGCCTTTCTATTGACACCCTAAAATCTTAATTTCTCTCTAGGGTGAGCCCATCACATTCTGTGAGGAGAGTTTTGTAAAGCACCGCTCAAGTCTGATGAAACAGTTCTTGGAGACTGCAGTTAACCTCCAACTTTTCAAGCAGGTAAGAGTGGACCTCCACATTGCCTTCTGTAACAGATTACAGAAATGCGTAACACATTTTTATCACTTTTACCAAAAGTATGTCAAAACCCTGAGTAATGTCTATTCTGGAATTACAGGAAATTTTTCTTTCTTTTGTAACTCTGTAGTTATCGATGGCATAGCACTCCAGAAAATGGTAGAAAAGTAACTTTGTTATTAAAAAATTCATCATTGAAAGTGCTGACCTGATGGTCTGAGGAAGGGTATTCATCCATACGGTTATGAAACCAACATGACTAGTTTCATGTAAGGCATCTAGGAGTTTGCTCTGATAGATTGGTAGTGGCTAAACAAACCATATTTCTTGTAGGACAGTCCTAGGACAGTACTAATGTAATCCAGTTTATAAAAACAGATGTCATAATTATAAATTTAAAATTCAGAAAAAATTCATAGTCCTACTATGTATCTTTATTTTTGGCTCAGAAAATGTAAATGCCATTTTGAAATGCAGGTAGCTTAACATCGGAATTCAGAATGTTTATAAGGACTAGTTCTTTCATTCCAGTGTGTGATCGTAGCAAGTCTCTTAATTCAGGCTTATCTTAGTTTCTGTTTATGTAATTTAAATTAAGTTCTAAACACTTTAGTTTCTTATACCACATGATAATTTAAATGTATAGTTACTCATGTGAATTCAGCAGTTAATGAGACCTACAGTGGGTCATAAACCACTCAGGGCCAGGGTACAAACATGAATAAAAATTCAGTAATGCCCTGAAGCTGAAAATCTAATAGAATCCTTTGGACTGTTTGGAGAAAAGATACCATGTAACTTGAGATCAGCTTTAAACTAAACAAGTCATTTAATTTGATAGTGACAAAACCAATACTATTATCTATATTCTGAGGAAGTTTTGAAAAATAATTAGAAAATACTCTGGAGGGGGCTATAACTGCCTTCTAATATGTGAAGGTTTACCTCAAAGAAAGGCTTAGATTTGTACAATACCTAGAAGAAGCAGAATAAGGCCTGATAGCTTTCAGGGCCCAAGATGTTTTGTGAATTTCTAAAAATGGATGGGTTACTTTAGGTGCTCTGTCTCTAGAGGGCTCCAGTATTATACTGAATTGTTTCCCAAGGTTGTGTGAGGATCATGGGATGGTCTTTATAAATGCTGAAGTATATATATAGCAAGTGTAGCCCTGTACTAGTCTCCTAGTGCATGCTTGTTGAGTTAAATAACAGTACCCTTTTTGTATTTTTGTCTCTCAGAGAGGGATAGTACTACTGCCCATTATCAAAACCGAATTGTGGGGTACCTGGGTGCCTCAGTTGCTGAAGCAGCTGCCTTCAGCTCAGGTCATGATCCCAGGGTCCTGGGATCGAGCCCTGCATCATGCTCCCTGCTCAGCAGAGAGCCTACTTCTCCCTCTCCCTCTGCCTGCTGCTCTGGTTGCTTGTGCTTTCTCTTTCTCTGTCAAATAAATAAAATCTTGTTTAAAAAAAAAAAAAAAAGAAATAACTTTTTTTTTTAAAAAGATTTTATTTATTTACTTGAGAGAGAGAGTGAGCATGACGGGGAGAGGGTCAGAGAGAGAAGCAGACTCCCTGCTGAGCAGGGAGCCCGATGTGGGACTCAATCCCGGACTCCAGGATCATGATCTGAGCTGAAGGCAGTCTCTTAACCAACTGAGCCACCCAGGTACCCAAGAAGAAAAGTACCTTTAAAAAAAACAAAAACAAAAAAACGAGTCATGAAGGTCAGAATATATCGGGGTCAAGAATTGAATGGGTGGATAGAATATCCAACTTACTACTTAATCTTTCACTATGAGAATGTAACTAAAGTCTTTTCATTAGATGTAGTTCAGACACAGTAATTTTTTTAAAAGATTTTATTTATTTATTTAACACAGAGAGAGCAATCACAAGTAGGCAGAGAGGCAGGCAGAGAGAGAGGGGGAAGCAGGCTCCCTGCTGAGCAGAGAGCCCGATGTGGGGCTCAATCCCAGGACCCTGAGATCATGACCTGAGCTGAAGGCAAAGGCTTAACCCACTGAGCCATCCAGGCACCCCAAGTAATTTATATACTTACAAAACATTTGTATTTTTTATGAATCAGATAGAATTGGGTTAGATCTTGGCCCTATCACTTAATAGCTGTTTGTTCATAAGTATCTGTTTCTTTTTCTTTAAAAAAGAAATACCACCTAACAGGGTTGTGCTAGAATTTATGTTAATTAATACATGTATTCCTGAGCACAGTACACAACACTTTGTAGAAGCTTACTAAATTTTAGTGTCTGCTTCATTTTAGAGCAATTACATTAATAGAATACAAATATATGCAGGATTTTTTAAAAATAAACTCGTTCAGAAAAGCTAAATGTGAAATATTAAAATAGTCAATTAAATTAGAATCCATTATATATAGACAACTTGAATAGTTTTACATGTACCAACTGACCATATTCTCAAGCTTGATATCATTTTATGACCTTTAAGAAATGACACTTGACGATAGCCCTGAAAGAATTTAAAAGATTCCTATTAACAGTTTCACAAACTTCTAAAAATGAGTAAGTTCCAGAGATGCACTATACAACATAATGCCTATAGATATAATTGTGTATTTAAAACTGGTTAAGAGGGTATATCTCATGTTGACATGTGTTCTTAGCACAAACAAAAACACAAAGGAATTCAGGAAACTTTTGGAGGTGTTGGATACATTTATTACCTTGATTGAGGTGATTATAGCAGAAATGTATACATATGTCCAAACTTGCCACATTGTCTACATTACTTATGTGCAATTTTTTGATTACCAGTTACACTTTACTAAAGCTTGAGGGGGGAAGAGTAAAAAAACCAAAAATAGGAATCAGTTAGTAAAAAATTATCAACAGATGAAGCCTCAAAGATACTATTGCTATTTCTAAAAGAATATGAAAAAATTTATTAGGTACACATGGTTACTATTCATTATTATGAATTTATGATCCATTATAGGTCAAGAGCACCTCAGGTTCTCTATTTAGCAATGCTCATGCATCAAAATTGAGAGAGGACCCAGGAGAGAAATGTATATTTTAAGTTAAGAGTTAAGAGTTAAAATAAACTGTTATTTCTTTTTCTTTTTTTTTTTTTTTTCTCTTACTGTTATTTCTGATAATATGGCAGGAAGGATTCAGAGCTAACTTACATACTGAAACAATTTTAAATACAGTATTTAAAAAACTTTTTTTGTGGTGGGGGCACAGGAGACAACGCCCAAGTTGAGAAGTGTATTAGAAGACCCTACTCCCACAATTCTGGGATGATTTAGTGTAAAAGTAAACAAGAAGTAAGGTTGCTCTTTCCCTTAACTCATTTCCTAGTGATTGTACCTTTGAAGCACTGGTACTGAGTGGAAGGGAGGGAAAAGTTCTGCTGAGAAGTAAACACACCAGCTTGTAGAGGAATTTGAAGTCTGAATTAATAATTTCATATTTAGTCTGACATAGCTCAAGCCAAGTTTAAAGTGATACTAAATTGTTAGCACTGTCAGGCCCTAGGCAGAGGCACACACACATCTTCTCTTGAGGAATTCAGGCACCAAAGAATTCTCCCACCTATAATTCCAAAGAAAAATTTCTGTGCTAGAAATTATTAAAAACACAAGGAAACCAATCATGAATGAGAATTAGAAGAAACAGCAGACAAAAATTGACTTGCAAAGACTTTAATTATTGGAATTATCAAAAATAGAACATAAAATAGCTATGCTTAAGATGTTCAGAGAAATAGAGGATAAGCTTTAAAAATGTTCAGGATATAAAAACATTCAAGAACTGGAACCAATTTTAAGAATGTAGCAGATGTAATTCTGGTAGGAAGCATGTAATTGAAATGAAAGGAAATTGATAGGTTTAACAGCAGATCAGATCTAACTGAAGAGAGATTTGCAAAACTGGAAGATATATCTGAAAAAGAAATTAGCGAGAAGATAATGCAGAGAAATGAAGAAATAAAGAATGTAGGAGAGGTTAATAGACATGAAGGGTAGAGTTGAAAATATCCAAAGCCATCTAATCAATTCTGAAAGGAGAAGACAGAAAATGGAGAAGACGTAGTAAAGGACAATGCCAGAACCAATAAAATACACCACTTTATAAATTTAGGAAGTTCAACATATCCAAACTGAATAAATAAAAAGAAATCTACAGCCACACCATACATTCAGCTCTAAAGCATTAAATAATAAGGGAAAATTTGAAAAACAAGAGGAGCAAGATAGATTACCTTCAAAGGAGCAATATACTGAAAGTTGGCTTCACAGCAACAATCCAGAAGATCCTGCCGTATCTTCAGTGTGTTGAGAAAAAATATCCAGAATCTTCTGACAACTAAAACACATCCTCGTTATAAGAGTAATATAAAAACATTTCCCCCCCAAAAAACTGAGTTTTCCCCTTGTGTTGGCTTTATTGATGTGTCTACTTGGTTAGGCTAATATCCCCAGTTACTTTAAATGCTTCTCTTGGTGAAGGTATTTTTACAGATATAATTAAAACTTCTAATCATTTGACTATAGATAATGTGAGTAAGCCTGTCTGAATCAGTTGGAATGCCTTAAACTCAGAACTTAGGTTTCACTGGGAAAGAGAAGAAATTCTACCCATGGATGACCGCTTTGGTCACCTCTTGTGGATTCGGTCTGCTCATAATTTTTCCTTCCTGATACCTCTCCTATGAATTTCAGACTTGCTTAGCTAACCCCCTAATCATGTAAACCAACTCCTTGTAGTAAATCGTGTGTGTGTGTGTGTGTGTGTGTGTGTGTGTGTGTGTGTCTACCTATCAAATCTCCTACTGGTTCTGCTTCTTGGTTGAACCCTGACTATTATACTAATAGCAGAAAGAAATCTTTGAGAAAGTACTTTAAGAAAGTACTTCAGGGAGAAAGAAAGTTTTCTCAGTTCCAACGTGGAAGGTCTGAGATGCAAGAAGGTAGAACAAAATAAATGGTAAAT